AAAAAAAAAGTTCATTAATTATTTTCAAAAGAAGTTCAAAGGACAGTAAATACATTCTTTTTTTTTCACTCTTGTTTTTGATCAACATAATTTAAGTGTACTGCAAAGTTTAACTATAGATTCAAGTGTGCCATGAGATAAAAAAAGGTTGAAAAACACTGCCCTAAAGGATGAAAGAGCCAGCATTTGTGGCTTCTTTTCCCACAGAGCAACTGCTGATGTGGAAAGAGGTAGCTAAGAGGTTGAGAGTTGAACAGTGTTGTAGGGTGGCGCCTGTGGTTCAGTGGGTAGGGCACTGGCCCCATATATAATGAGGCTGGTGGGTTCAAACCCAGCCCTGGCCAAACTGCAACAAAAAAATAGCCGAGCATTGTGGCGTGCACCTGTAGTCCCAGCTACTTGGGAGGCTGAGGCAAGAGAATCACCTAAACACAGGAGTTGCTGTGATGCCACAGCACACTACTGAGGGTGATAAAGTGAGACTCTGTCTTTTCAAAAAAAAAAAAAAGGAGGGCGGCGCCTATGGCTCAAGGAGTAGGGTGCTGGCCCCATATACCAGAGGTGGTGGGTTCAAACCCAGCCCTGGCCCAAAAAAAAAAAAAGGAAAGAAAACAGTGTTGTAATAGCCTTGTAGAGCTAGAAAGACACAAATTGTAATCCAGTAACTGATAATAGGGAGGGGAGCCTGGTAAATCATTTATGTTTTAGGCTGAGACCTTGGGAAAAGGCCAAGTTTTGCCCTTAATACCTGAAATTAAAGTGATCCTGGTTGTTAGTGCCCTAGCTACTTCCCCAAAACAAACTTCCTCCTCCAGGCAGGATTTATATCAGCAGTATGCCTTTAAATACTTCTATAACATGGTGTTTTTTTGAGACAGAATCTCATTATGTCGCCCTCGTACAGTGGTGTCACTGCTCACAGCAACCTCAAACTCTTGAGCTTAAGTGATTCTCTTGTTTCAACCTCCCAAGTAGCTGGGATCACAGGTGCCTGCCCAGCTATTTTTTATTTTTTTGGTAGTTTTTGGCTAGTGCTGGGCTTGAACCTGCCACTTCCGGCATATGGGGCCAGTGCCCTACTCCTTTGAGCCACAGGTGCTGCCTCTGCCCAGCTATTTTTTTTGTTGCAGTTGTCATTGTTATTTAACTGGCCCGGGCTGGATTCAAACTGGCTGGCCTCAGGGCATGTGGCCAGTGCCCTATCCACTGAACTACAGGCGCTGCCATTCTTCTATAACAATTTCTGATAGACAGAATTTGATAACCAAAAATGCTTAAGTGAGCCAGGCATCATGGTGGGCGCCTTTAGTCCTGGCTACTCAGGAGGCTGAGGTAAGAGGATTGCTTGAGCCCAAGAATTTGAGGTTGTTGTGAGCTATGACACCACCACACTCTACCCCAGGGCAACAAAATGAGACTCTGTC